CGAAAACTCGAAACTTAATCATGGCGACTAAAGTTCAGAAGATTATGGTTCAACCCATAGTACGTTGTCATAGACGCTATCTAACTTGTATTGTTCAAAGCTAACTTTGATACGCTAAATAAGCTCTTCCGTTCTTTAGAACTTGATTTTCAAGTATCTTCAAAATGTTTGTATCGGAAGCAATGCAGTGTCTAGCCTTTACCTCGTCTCAATTTCCTCTAATGTTTTTGTAATTTTTATTCGCGTTGATTTAGAAAACAAGGGTGCAGATATGGTTATACGAGCAAGTAGATTTAAGAATCGAAGGCCAGATTATTGTGAGTTTTTTTTTATTTTCATCAATTTCAAATTTTCAAATTTTAATTTATCCTATACTCCGTGATCAATAAGGGATTCGACGAATTCATGAATCTTGTACTCGATAACTCGGAAGAGGTGAACACCAAGAAAAAGACGCGGAAGGCATTAGGTTACTATTCACATAGGCATTATTGTTTTTTATTTTTTTAAAAAAGAAAAAAATTTTTTTTTTTTATTTACCCGTCATTGATTCTTTTATCACCAATCGAACATAATATTATCAACGAACAACAATGTTAGGTCGAATCCTTTTGAAAGGGGACAATATTACTCTCATTCAGAGTATTGGAGGATGAGTTCGTCTCAATCCATTAAGACTTCTTACCGACAAGAGATATTTTTTTCTGGGTACATTGTGATAGAATTAAGTTTCGTTTGCTATAAAAAGTGGGTGTTTTATTTTTTTCTGTTCGAATTACAAAATTTTTATACTTGATCTTTTACAATCAATAAGCCTTTACTGATGATCTACTATTTAAATGAAATGTTAAAGTAACTAAAACTTTGAAACAATGATTGCATCTATTCAAATTAATTTTGGAAATAGTTATTTAAAAATTTTAAAAATTCGGTATTATGAAAGGGTTATCACGTGAGAGAGTTTCGTATGACATCACGTAATTTGCACGTATTTACGAAAGTGAACGTTGCCCATTCCTGCAGCGAAAAAAAATGGCATTTAAAGGTTTCACTCATTTAGAGAAAATATTGCAAGCTTCGTCTGAAGTAGCGTCGCTTAATTTTTCCGCGAGCAACGCGCGCGTAAAGGCACTATTAAAATCTTCTCCGACTCATAAAACAGTTCGTGAAGCAGCTCCGCACGAACGGAAACTGTTTACCCTCGTCGAGGAGCTTGGTACAACTCCAAGGTGAACTTTGACATTTATTATAAGACGATTTTTCAATGTGCAGTTTAGGGTTACGAAATTTTCGAATTCCATAAGAGAGGAATTAGAGCAGCCCACCCCTTTACGCGGACCGGATCCTGTGACAGTCGACAAGCTGCTGCGAGCTGCGAATGTACTAGCGCAAATATGGTACAATTCTTAGATATGTTCATTTAATAAGTTTATGAGTTTGAACCTCACGTATCTTCAATTAGTAACCTTCAGGATGCTAAAGAACAAATAGAATTATTGGCACAACGTCATGAAGAAATAACTTCTTCAATAGACAGTCTGGAATCTATAATGGAAAAGGTGTATTCCGATTTCCCTCTTAAGTTTGCACCTATTCTGACTAGATGAACCTTCCATTAGCAAAGAATAAAACTAGAAAAAGTCAAGATAGCCGAACGGGTAAAAGGTATGGATCACGGAACGGCAAATGATGAAACTTTAAATATAACGAATGAAAAGGCGTCTAAATTTGACGATGAAATCCGACACCATGAGATGGAAATCCTCGCATTGGACATGTTGAAACAGGAATATATAAATAAGGTATCATCGAGTGGGATATCCTTTTTTCATGGTTTGATTTATATTTTTTAATGTCGACTTACGTGTTTGAAGATTAATTCTCTCAATGACGAATTGGAAGAACAAAAACGCAAAGAAGCAGAAGAAATTGAATTAAACCAACGCCTGGGAAGCTTAGTATTGAATGAAGAATCAGACGAGATTGACGAATTTGATGAATTAGTGGTTTGTTTTAACTTATTTGACGTGTCACAAATTAAACATTGCATTTTATTTAATGATTTATTATCGATTGAATCAGACAAATCAAGATGTGATCGATCGCATGAAACTTCTTGAATTCAAACGGGAGATCCTATTGGAACTAGGTTAATGTCAAAGCGCTGGTCCTTTTAACTCAAAAATAGTCACGCTCATATATAAACGAAATAGATACGCAACTTGAAGAACTAGAAGAAATCGCATCTCAAAAAGTGGATGATAGTGAATTTGGTCGTTTGAAATTCAAAATCCAAAGTATTTTGAAGAGGACAGATATGGTATGACGTTACGTCGTTAAGCTGTCATTGAAGTGACACTTAATGTAATTTGATATCTAGTCATCTAATAACTTTCAACCTGGAGATCAAGAAAGAGTCAAAGGCTGCCTTGTAAGTCGTTTCTGTTTGCTGTATTTGAAGGTGATTTTTATACTAAAATAATTTATGCTAGGTCGATACGATTTCAACGCTTGAACAACTTCTGGAAGACCATCAAAATGGTTCGCTATTAGAATTTGATATCGACATTATAAAGTAGGTAGTAAAAAAATTTTGATGTCTGTAAATTAACTTTGTTTTCAAGCATATTAACTATTTTCTTGTAAATACTCAGTGAAATCAGTAGTACATTAATAGAAAGTGTCGCTGAAGCAGTTGAAAAACGTGATATTTATCTGGATAAATCAATACCAATGCCGTCTCAGCAAATGGTTCTCTGTGCAATTATATTGCAGATTCTTCGTGATGCTGGTGGTGAATTGCCTCTTGCTGATCTTAAAGAAAGGATCGGACAATCTGCACGAGAGAAAGGATGGAAGGATTCTGATGGGATCAACGCACTTTATATCCTCGTTGCTAATTTCCTTGTGACTTTTAATCATTCTAGAAAGGGTTGCCCGGTTACAGCTCACGTGTGAATCTAACATGAGCTGAAGAGTAGATCTGATTTGTTAAGGTAAAGCGTTTCAAAGTTCATTCTGTGCCATGGGGAATGAATTGAGAGATTATGAATTCACATAAATAAAATATTTTTCATCGCCCAAAAGAATCATTTGATTAATAATTTTAATCAGAATTTAACTATTTATTTCGATGCTATTAAAAAACTTGTTATTTTAAAGTACTTTAAGCAGATTTAATGATGTACGGTATGAAAAACTTCTATGCTTAGTAAAAAAAAATTTTTATAAAATAATTGGTTAATATTTTAACATTATTTTGGGAATTTTGAAATCTATTTTATATAATTTGAAAATTTAAAATTACTATTTAATTGTAAAAGTTTAAGCTTGAATATATTAATTTTATATCAATTATTTTTTTAAACTATTATAAAAATTATTTTTATTTGTAATTACAGTATATAAAAATAAATGTATGTTTAACATCTTATTAAGTAATAAATTAAGTTATTTAAAAAATTTTGTGAATCAATGGTATAGTTAAAGAATGGGTTTCTAAAAGAGAAGGTAGGGATATAAGTTAAATGTCCCTCACTAGGAAACATTAAAATTTTTAAACTAATAACTATAAAAAAACCACTCACAATTGTTCTCTATTATCTAAATCATTGATTTATAACATTTCCTGACTTTTGTCCCTATTAAAGTGAAGAGC